TCTCTCTCTCTCTCTCTCTCTCTCTCTCTCTCTCTCTCTCTCTCTCTCTCTCTCTCTCTCTGTTTTGAGTTTTGGTTTTGTGAGACAGGGTTTCTCTGTGTAGCCCTGCTGTCCTGGAACTGACTGTAGACCAGGCTGGCCTCACTGTCGAGTGCTGGATTCCAAGCCTGTGCCACTGCTCCTGGTTTGTTTGTTTGTTTTGGTCTCCCTGTATAGCCCAGGCTGAGCCTGAACTCTGGCATTCTTCATCTTCCTACCTAGGCCTTATAGTGTGTGCCACAATACCTGGCACTTGATGCTTGTTTGTTTGTTTGTTTGTTTGTTTTGAGACAAAGTCTCATATATCTCAAGCTGGCCTTGAACTTCTGATCCTCTTGCCTTTACCTCCCAAGTCCTATGATTGCAGTGTGCCATCATGCCTGATACCAGACCGTGCTGGGGATGGAACCCAGGGCTTTTGTGCATGCTAGGCAAGCACTATACCAACTCTGCAACATCTCTGGCTGTCTGAGGGTTAAAGAAATAATTTTATCAACAAGTTTTTCATTAAGTCCCTTGCATACATTTCCATTTTTAAATGGCCCTTTTTGTTCAGAGGAAACTAAGGATACTCAATGTCAGATTTCCCTTTCAGTTAATAGTTCATAATATGTGTGGCCCTAGAAGAAGATTCATAAGGCTTTTATTTTGAGTTGCTATAAGCCTCTGTTTTGTTTGTTTGGGTTTTTTCCTTTTTTTTTTTTTTTTTTTGAGGCAGGGTTTCTCTGTGTAGCCCTGGCTGTCGTGGAACTTGCTCTGTAGACCAGGCTGGCCTTGAATTCACAGAGAGCCACCTGCCTCTGCCTCCCGAGTGCTGGGATTAAAGATGTGTGCCAACATCACCACCTCAGAGGCAATAAGCCACTCTTCTTCAGAGGAATAAAAGTAAGTATTCTGTTGAAATTTGATCATACTTACTCTAAATTGGTTGAAATAATAGAGATTACCAACCAATTATCGAAATCAGTTGTCTTCTATAATACAATGAAAAATACACTTACCATAGAATCAAATAAGTAACAGAAATTGGTATGAAATTGTACTTGTTAATAGCCAAAAGTAGCATATATATTTGCAGGTATAGAATTTTTTTCCCTCTATTTTTAATTAAGAAATGTTTAGCAGATGTAGCTATGTTAAACAGGGTTTACAGACCCTGCATATACCTACCACCTAGACTCCAGTATTAATATCTGTTGTTCTAAACCAGGCATAGGGCACTGGGGAGGCAGAGGCAGGCGGATCTCAGTATTGTTGAGGCCAGCCTGGTGTACACACAGAGTTCCAGAACATCCAGGGCTACATAGAGGGACCTTGTCTCAAAAAATAAAACATTTATTATTTTGATTAACTGCATACCCATTCATCTATCAAAATGCTTGGTTTTTGTTGTTTATTTATTTTGGTTTGGGTTGGTTTTTGTTTGTTTGTGTTTTTGATGTTTCACTGAGTTGCAGATACTAGTATACTTCTCCCTAAATACTTCACCATGCCTGCTTTTATCCAGAGTTCACAAGTGTCGATCTTTCCAGTTTTTCATATTCTTCCTAAAGATTCTGAGTAGTTAATAGTCAAGGAACTTAAGTGTTAGTTTTGGGGAAATTGACGTTATAAGAAATTAGTTGCAGCCGGGCGGTGGTGGCGCACGCCTTTAATCCCAGCACTCGGGAGGCAGAGCCAGGAGGATCTCTGTGAGTTCGAGGCCAGCCTGGGCTACCAAGTGAGCTCCAGGAAAGGCGCAAAGCTACGCAGAGAAACCCTGTCTCAAAAAACAAAAAAAAAAAAAAAAAAAAAAGAAATTAGTTGCAATAGCAAGTTTTAGTGAACTTCTTTCTTTTTGCCATTACTGTATCTTCCAGAAATCTGGCTTTTAGTTTAAAACTACTCTTCAGGGACATTTCTAGTTCTGTTTTTTTTTTTTTTTTTTTTGTTGTTGTTGTTGTTGTTTTGTTTTTTTCCCTTTTTCCCCTAACACTGCAGATTGAACTCCTAGGGCCCTCCACATACGAGGCACATGACTACCTCTGTGCTTCAGCCCACCCCAAAGGTCATGTTTATAAAGCTTCATTTTACATCTTCTCATGTTGGTTTTGTGGTTTCTTTTCTTCATCTCCTCATAATCTGAACTTTTATTATACCAAATAGTAGCTATTTTTGGTACTAATTTTTAATTGGATTCATCAATGTAGAAATAATAACTTGGATTACTGATTTCTAAAACATTTAATATTAAGATCTCGTTTGCTTTGTTATGCATACAAAGTTTTATTTTTTTTTTTAATGTGGGTCACCTTAAATATGCTCTCATTGGAGACAGGTTGTAAGTATTGTGCTTCATGAAAGATAGCATTGATTTCCAGTATTATACGTCACGATTAAAAATGTTGCCCATGAGATAACTTTATAGGCGTTGTTTTAATGCATACACATATAGATAGACATTTGTGAAGTCTGTTAATTGGTGTATGTGTGTGTGTGTATGTAATGCATTGTTATAAAGGAATGAAGAATCATTATGATTTTTCATCTACAGTGATATAAATCATTTTGATAGTAGAAAGAAATGTGCTTGTGTGCATTGAGTGTCTTTCAAGTTTTTCCCCCTGATGTGCTATTTCACATATCACAGGACTTATTTTTTGAACATTTGAACAAAAGAAACATGAAACCTCATACAAATCCCTTCAAAATATGAAAATGTGGGGTTTATTTGTGCTAATGCTCTTCTTTTGGAAGCATGTATTAAAGGTAAGGTCAATTTATTGATTTAAATACATAGTACATAAAATATTGATTAAACTTTGTAAGCTGTTCTTGAAAGAAAAGAGTTTTAACTTTGGAATAAAAAACTTGATCTGCAAGTCCAAGAAAAAAAATAAAATTTAGTTATTCCCAAGTTTCCTAAAATCTGGGAATAGAATTTTCTAAAGCTTCTTGATGTAAAACTTGGACTATTTTAAAGCTTTGCCATCCCGTCTTCTAGGATCTTATGGTCGGGGATGAGGCAAGTGAATTGCGCTCAATGTTGGAAGTTAACTACCCCATGGAGAACGGCATAGTGCGAAATTGGGATGACATGAAACACCTGTGGGACTACACATTTGGACCAGAGAAACTCAATATAGACACCAGAAACTGCAAAATTCTACTCACAGAACCTCCCATGAACCCAACCAAAAACAGAGAGAAGATTGTAGAGGTAAATTTTTGATGGGCTGGATATCCATGTGTATCTCTGTGATAGAATGTTAAGTCAGTATTTTTTTTTTTCTTCTTGCTCCTTCTGCTAAGGATAAATAAAAGCAGTCATTTCTCCCTAGATCCTGTTTATTTTGCATTTACTACAGATTGAGGGTGGTTCATTTGAAAACTGAAATGTTTTTGATCATGTTTATGATGCTTATGAGAGTTTGAATTTTGGAACATAAATTTTGGATTTTTGGATAAGGGAATTTACCTGGTAAATAGGCAAATATTGCAAATTTTAAATCAGAAATCTCTCTGGTCTCAAGCATTTTGTATAAGGGGCGGTTAACGTGTATATGCTAGTAGATGAGAACACTCCCCTCCCCAAAAATTAGGTGATTGAGTAAAGTAGTTTATTAGAAAGTAATAGATCTAATGGAAAAAAATAGTGAAGTTGTGTGTATATATATAATTGAGTACAGGAAAAGAGTTTGGAATTCAAGATAAAAGATTCGAAAGTCTTTGAGATGATGTTTTTCACCAAAGAAGTGAGGAGACAGTGTTGAGAAGTCTGGGGCTGGAGGGAGGAGCCTGCCGAAGAGATTGAAAAGGCTGCTGAAGTAAGGCAGGCAGGCAGGCAGGCGAGCCTCGTTACTGACTCAGATGGTGGACTCTGGAGGACTCGGCATTTTGTTAGGAGATGCACACACAGCAGCAGTACTTGTTTACTAAAGGGATGTTGGAATAGAAGGTTAGAAGATGAATCAATTGGTGAAGATGTATTCAAAAGTTGTAAAATTGAAGTTCTGTATGTTCTCATTGCGATCAGTTGTTAAATATCTCGGTAGTCAGAGTGATAGTCCTATCAGTCAATGAGTGCTTACAATGGATGACCACAAGAAATCATTAAAGATTTTCTCAGCTGACATGGGCTACAGTGCTGGGGGATGTCTTTCTGTACACTGTGAATGTATAATGATCCCATTGGTTAATAAATAAGCTGCTTTGGCCTATGGCAAGGGAGCTTAGAGGCAGGCAGGAAATCCAAGGAGAGAAACAGGAAAGAGAAAGGCGGAGTCTGGAGAGATGCCAGCTGCCGCTGAAGAAACAATGCCAGCAGACCAGTAAAGCCACAGAACACATGGCAAAGCATAGCTGAATAGAAATGGGTTAATTTAAGATATAAGAGCTAGCTAGCAAGAGGCCTACCATAGTTTGTAAGTAACATTAAGCCTCTGAATGGTTATTTTGTAAATGGCTGCAGGCCCACAGGGCTGGGCAGGACTAGAGAAAACTTTGAACTACATTGTGATGAGGGAGGGCCCGAGGAAATAGCGCCCTTCAGTGTAACTGAGTGTGAAATGGAATTACAACCTGGGCTCAGGGAGAGTCAGTGGGCTGGGCCACTGAGCAGTCTCTGCGTCTTGACAGCCTAGTGTTTTAATTTTTCTTCACCTCATAATTTACTGTTCATTTTATTCCACGGCTAGGGAATCAGACCCAGAGTCTCATTCAAACCAGAAAAAACGCTTCTACTGAATTACATCCCCAGTCCTGTTTCCTTCATTATTTGTTTTTAACTGCCTAGGGGAGGGGTGTAAAACCAGTTTTGACTCAGGTTGGGGGAAATAAGCAGATAATTTCTCTTCTTTTTTTCCTCTTCATTATTTATGTGAGTTGTGTTTATGTGTGTATGCCCATGCACACTGGAGTGTCCATGAATGGACAGTTTTAGGGGGAGTTGGTTTTTACCTTTTACCATGTGGGCTCTGGAGATTGAACTCAGGTCATCAGGGCTTTCGAACCTGAGCCATCTTTCTGGTCCCAAAAGGATATGTCATTTTATTTCTTTATTCTGATTTTTGTTTTGTTTTGTTTTTCGAGATAGGGTTTCTCTGTGTAGTTTTAGTGCCTGTCCTGGAACTCACTCACTCTGTAGACCAGCCTGACCTCGAACTCACAGAGATCCATCTGCCTATGCCTCCCGAGTGCTGAGATTAAAGGCGTACACTAGTATTGCCTAGCAATTCTGATTTTTTTAATATTGATTTTTTTTTTTTTGTGTGTGTGTGTGTGTGTGTGTGAGAGAGAGAGAGAGAGAGAGAGAGGGAGAGGGCGGCGGACGGAATGAGGGCCCCAGACGGGGTTTTTTTTTTTTTTTTTTTTTTTGAGGGGTATCAATTTAGGAAATTTTTGTTTGGAGCTTGCTTTCATACTGATGAGCCACTGTGTACAATATAGTCAGAAATCTTTACTTGTAACACTTACAAATGCTCCGAGACTTGACTCAGGTGTGTATATGTGCTTGTAGGCACACACACGTGCATGTGTATCCAAAACTCTGCCCTGATGATTGGAATCGAGGACAACTAGTTAGAATAGATGATTCCTCAGGGTCCTTGGTTGCATCTAATCAGCTAATCTGCCATGTGAGCATGAAGGAAGTATATAAATATGTATAGAGTTTTCTGCATAAACCACTTTCCTGTTTTCCTTCTTCCATTTTCAGGTAATGTTTGAAACTTACCAATTTTCTGGTGTGTATGTAGCCATCCAGGCAGTTCTGACTCTATATGCTCAAGGTAAGTAAAGCTTAACTATTAGGAAAATTAATTCAACAAACACTGAGAGCCCTGGCTGTCCTAGAACTTGCTCTATAGATCAAGCTGGCTTCACTTTGAGCGGTGGGATGGAGAGTGACTCAGTTAAGAGCATTGACTGCTCTCACTGAGGACTCAGGTTCTAGTCCTTCATTTGGAGCCATCTATGACTCTAGTTCCTGGGGATCCAGTGCCCTCTTCTGGCCTCCAAGGGCACTGCATGCACCTGATAAACAGACATAACATTCAGATAAACACTGTTACAGATAAAATTAAAAAAAAAAAAATCTAAAAAAACAAAAAGGAAAGACTGTTACTTATATAAGATCATGCTTCAAAACTTTACAATTGTCTGTCTGTGTCAGTTTGTCATGCATGTGTATACAGGGATGCATGCTTGTGGAGGCCAGAGGTCGACATCAGGTGTCTCTCATTCTCCACTTGCTTTTTTTTTTTTTTCTTTTTTTTTTTCGAGACAGGGTTTCTCTGTGAAACAGTCCTGGCTGTCCTGGAACTCACTCTGTAGACCAGGCTGGCCTCAAACTCACAGAGCTCTGCCTGCCTCTCCACTTCCTTTTTAGAGACCGCATCCCTCCTTAGTTGACCTGGAGTTGACTGACTGACTGGTTGTAAACCTCCAAGGCCCTCCTGTCTGCACTTCCCGGGGCGGAGGTTACAGCCTTTGCTGCTACACCGTTGTTTTGTGTGGTTTACGGGCTCCAGACTAAGTCCTGGGCTTGTGCAGCAAGCACTGTACCCACTGAGCCAGTTGCCGAATGTGAATGCCATGCACACTTTCACTTGCTCTGTTAAGTAAGGAGCTAAGCTTAAAGCGACATCAGGTTGTTTTTTTTTTTTTTTTTAAAGATTTATTTATTATGTATACAGCATGTATGACTACAGACCAGAAGAGGGCACCAGATCTCATTACAGATGGTTGTGAGCCACCATGTGGTTGCTGGGAATTGAACTCAGGATCTCTGGAAGAGCAGCCAGTGCTCTTAACCTCTGAGCCATCTCTCCAGCCCACATCAGTTTTTTCAACAGTTCTTTTTTCAGCTGTCTTAAATTTTTATACATTACGAGGGACTAGAGATGGCTTGTCAGTTAAGAGCATTGGTTGCTCTTCCAGAGGACCAGGTTCAATCTCTAGCACCCCTATGGGCTGGCTCCCAGCTGTCTGTAACTCCAGTTCTGATGTCCTCTTCTGGCCTCCTTGGGCACTTGCAGGCATGTGATGCACAGACGCACAAGCAGGCAACACTCATACACAAGATAAAAATAAGTAAATTAAACCTTAATTGAGAATAAACATAGAATTTATCCTCAGAATCGGCTTGAGTTTAAGAAATTTTTTTTTTGTTGTTGTTGTTTTGTTTTTTCGAGACAGGGTTTCTCTGTGTAGCTTTGCGCCTTCCTGGATCTCGCTCCATAGACCAGGCTGGCCTTGAACTCACAGAGCTCTGCCTGCCTCTGCCTCCCGAGTGCTGGGATTAAAGGCATGCGCCACCACCGGCCAGCCAAGAAATATTTTAAAAGATTAGTGTGCTGGGTAGTTTTATGTCAGCTTGACACATGTTGAAGTCATCTAAGAGGAGGGAAGGGACCTCAGTTAAGAAAATGCTTCTAGAACCGAGCAGTGGTGGTGAATACTTTCAATCCCAGCACTCAGGACACAGAAGCAGACAGATCTCTGTGAGTTCGAGGCCAGCCTGGTCTACAGAGCTAGTTCCAGGACAGCCAAGGCTACATGGGGAGAGGGGGTACCCTGTGTCACAGAAACAAAACAAACAAAAACAGGAAATGATTCTAGAAGATGGGGCTGTATGCAAGCCTAGAGGGCATTTTCTTAATGACTTTCTTTTTCTTAGTCATCAGTCATTTTCTTAGTGCTTGATATGGGTGTGGTGGCAGCCCATTTTGGGTAGTGCCAACCCTGAGCTGGTGGTCCTGGATTCTATAAAAAGGAAGGCTGAGCAAGCCTTGGGAGCGAGCCAGTAAACCGCACATTTCCATGACCTCTGTATCAGCTCCTGCCTCCAGGTTCCTACCCTTTTAACAGTTCCTGTCGGACTTCCTTTGATGATGAACACTGCTGTGGAAGCCAGATAAACCCTTTTCTTCCCAAGTTGCCTTTTGTCGTGGTATTTCATCACAGCAATAGTAACCCTAACTAAGACAGCATAAAAAACTTAATGGTCTTCCAGGTGTTCGCACACCTTTAATCTCAGCACATGGGAGGGAGGCAAAGGCTTGTGGGTTGCTATGAGTTCTAGGTGAGCCTCATCTACACAGTGAGCCCAGGCCAGCCAGGACTCCATAGCAAAACTCTGTGTGTGTGTGTGTGTGTGTGTGTGTGTGTGTGTGTGTGTGTGTGTGTGTAACACACGTACTGATCAGATGCATAATAAGTTGGGTGGGGAGAAGATGTTTTGGAACACATTCCTAGTTTTTGAGTCAGTTTTAATGAACTGTATTCTCTCTGTTTGTATTTTGTTGTTGTTGTTGTTGTTGTTTTTGAGACAAGGTTTCTCTATGTAGCTTTGGCTGTCCTGGAACTTAGGCTAGCCTTGAACTCACAGAGATCCACCTGCCTCTGCCTCCCGAGTGCTGGGACTAAAGGCGTGGGAATTAATTTTTAAAGCTATATTTAGTTACCTATTGTAGTATGTCTTGCATTCTACTTAATATAGAAAGTCTATCAAACAGTGAGATAGATACGGTTTCTTTGCTCTTACGGTCGTGGATTATAATCTACTGTAATTTTTATTTGAAGGAAAAACGTCTGTCAAGTGAAAAAGTATTTTCTGGATAAGTCTGCATTTGGACACTTTTACTCTTTGCAAATCTGATTGTCTATTTGTGTGCCTGAGCATGTGTGGTGTCGGGGGCAGCTTGGAGGAGTCAATTCTCTCTCTGCCATGGGAGTCCCAGGGATCAAACTCAGGTCGGCGGGTTTGGCAGCAATCACTTAGACCCCCTGATCCACACTTCATTTCCCCTCCCTTCTTCCCTCCACCCATACTTCATTTGTAAAATACCACTTTAGAGGGACTGGAGAGATGTCTCAGTGAAAGAACACTGGCTGATCCCAGAGGATCCAAATTCAGTTCCCAGCACATATGTGGTGGCTCACAGCCATCTGTAACTCCAGTTCCAGGGGATCTGACATCTACTTCTGGCTTCTACAGGCACCCAGCACACAAGTAATGTACAGACATACATGCAGGCAAAAGACCCATACACATCAAATAAAATTAAAGTGAAAAATTTTTAATAACTTACAAATTACTTTCATATACAGTAATTTTAGAAGGTTTAAAGGGGTTAGTGTAAGTTTGAACCTGTGATTCCATCTTGCGTCAGGAGGCGTTACTTTTTGTGTGTCAGTGTTTTGCCTACATATATGTATGTGCCCTATGTGCATGCCTGGTGCCCAGGGAGGCCAGAAGAAGATATTGGATATTGGATCCCCTAGTACTGGAGTTAGAGTTTTGAGCTGCATTGTAGGTATTGGACCCCACCCAGGTCCTGCAAGAGCAGTAAGTGTTCTTAACTCCTGAGACATCTCTCTAGCTCCCCTAAAAGAATTTCTAAGAAAACTGATGTTAATATATTTTCCTAGTAAAATTTATGAATTAATCTCGATCCAGTAAGAAGATAACCTTTTTTAAAAGAAGACTCACTTATCATGTATACAATGTTCTGCCTGCAGGTGTGCCTACGTGCCAGAAGAGGGCACCAGATCTCATTATAGATGATGTGAGCTACCATGTGGGTGCTGGGAATTGAACTCGGGCCCTGGAGGAGTAGCCAGTGCTCTTAACCTCAGTGCCATCTCCAGCCCAAGATAACCTTTCTTTGGTTTTTCGAGGCAGAGTTTTTCTGTGTAGCTGTGGTGCCTGTCCTGGATCTATCTCTCTTTGCTGCTCTTGCAAAGGACCAGATTTCAGTTCCCAGCTCCGTGGTCAAGCAGCTTATAACCACCTATGACTTCAGCTTCAGAAGAGTGGGTGCCCTCTTCGGGTCTCCATAGGCACTATACTCATGTGCACACACAAACACACATATGCACAAATACATGGTAAAGATAAATTTAATAAGAACAACAACTATTACCATTCCAACCTGCAGGAGGGGTTTGAATAAGAAGTGACCTGGTGTTTTAGGAAAATATGTCTATGTGCTTAGTTTAGTCTGGGTGGATAGAAAAGACTGATTGACGTTGGGAAATCGCAGGTCAGAGTTTGAGTGGTCAGAGAAGGCACAGATGAAAGGGCAGGAATTTAAAAGACAGACAGACACCCAGGGATAAAAGGATCTGGCTCTAAGAGTCCTGTTCTCTTTTCCCAGTAGACAGTCTTCGGGGCTGGGGCCATAGCACAGTAGGTGACTGCCAACCTGGAAAGCCTGAGGACCTGAGTTCAGACCCTCAGCACCCACATAGAAGCCGTGCTCAGCAGCACGTGCCTGTGCTTCCAGCCGAGGAGCCCAAGACAGGAGGAGTCTAGGGCTTGTGGGCCAAGTAGTCGTCCTGATCAGTGAGCCTCAGGTTCAGTGAGAGACCCAGTTTCCTCAGATACCCGTGTAACAACCCCAGTTCTGATGGATGCAATTGCTGAGGCTTACTGGCTTCCAAGTTACCAGAGAAAACACCAGGCCAGGTTCAGAAAGAGATCCGTCCTCAAAGGAGTAGGTACCGAGAGATGAAGGAGGACACGGGATGCACATAGATACACACAGAAATAATCAAGTAAATAACTTAAAATATAGTAAGGTGGAGAGCAATTGAGGAAGACAGCCAAATCAATCCTCTGTCTTCTGCAGGTACATGAGATAGCTACATTCCAAAACAGTCTCTTGTCTAAAGAGCAGGACTGAAAGGGAACAGTATAATAGTTTATGAGGCTATCAGATTAATCAGGGAAAAACAAGTTATATCAAAATGGGAATATTTATAAATTTATTGGTGTTTATCAAAG